TCCATTGTGGTGGTGTATAGAGCCAAAGATGTTAGAATTGTGTCGATGTCCCAATATTTCTGGACCTGACTGTACATTGCTTAGTGACAGGCTATCCCGGCAGTTCGCATTGCCACTGCTAAGCGAGGATCCTGGATCATTAAGCAAGGACTTCCTCACAACTTCCTGCTGGCTTCCAAAAACCAAAGTCAGTGGGGAAGCCAGCAGGACGTTGCAAGACCCAGGTGGCTCCCAAGCAGGCCAGCAGGCAGGTAAGTGACTGCTGCCAGGTGGGAGAGGGAGCAAGGGTGTGTGCAGGTGGCCAGAGAATTACGGCACAAGTGCAGCAAGGCTCAGGGTGGGTGTGCAGGGCTGCACAGGTGGCTGGGGAGGTGCAGTGCAAGCACAGCAAGGTTCAGGGAGGGTGTACAAGTGGTAGCAAGGGTCGGAAACGGCGTGCAGAGGGTGAGTGGCCAGAGGGATGGGGGGCAAGTAGCTGCTGCCAAGTGGGGAAGGGTGCACAGGTGTGTGGATGGGGGAAGGTGCATGAATGGGAGAGACTTACCCGAGCGACTTGCGACCTTCCCCGATGGCTTCCCCATTGACTTTGCTTATGGGAAGCTGGCAGGGAAGGTTGCAAATGGTGGTCATGTGACTGGGGCACTGCAACTGTCATTAAGTGCAAGCTGGTTGCCAAGTGCTCAGATCATGATCACATGACCATGGCGGTGCTGGGACTGCCTTACTGATGCAACTGGAAAGCAAAGATGGGATTGCGTGTATGAACTCCTTCAACACAGCCCAATTTGGAACCACCTGCATAGATCTGTTACCTTATCAGTTACTTGCTGAAAGTGTGTTGGAAAGATACCATCTCCTAAACACTTGGAAAGAAGGAAAGCCCAAATCTGGAGATTCTGTACCAGGTAAAGAAACCAATAAAACCCCAAGTGCTGCTATGATCTGGATAAACCCAGCTTATTCTGGACTCAGACTGGAAAGAACCAAGTAGTGGCCTAGACATGAAGCTCTTGGTGTGATCTGGGGCTGTTCTCTGCCATAGAGGCACCAACTTATGCTTGTTATGACCACACAAGGTGTGTACATAGTCCACTTCGACAAATAAGAAGGTGAATTATGTGAACAAGAAAAAGTGAAGTAATGTCCTTAAGGAGCCTGAATCAAGAAGACATCGATGAAAAAATAAATATGACTGCTGTGATGACCTGCTCTCTGTTGGCCCAACAGCATGAACCAATGTAGGAGAAGAGGCTAAAATGAAGGCCTTATGTGTCTTAGTTCGTTGCAGCCTGGTTAGCAGAAAACACTTCAAGTGGAACCTCTATGCGACATCAGCATCATTTTCAAAGTGCGATGGTGCTTGTTTTTCTTTCCCCATCCTTTTATTTATCTTAGATGGGATTCCAGGAAGTTTAGCAGCTGAGAGCAATAAATGTACACCACCTTCTACCAGCCAAGCTAACCTGTGATAATTGCCCTTGTCACACGACAGGACATCCGCCAGACATCATGCTTTTCCAAAGCGAAGCAGCCAACCAAAATCTGTGATGGCAATGTGTGTAATCTGTGTAAGCCCAGGAAAGGTCAAAAGTAACAGATACGAAAAAACTATAAGGCGCTGTTGCCTTTTCAAATACATTTATTAACCAATGTTAACACATTTAATGACTCTATATATTGCTAGTCAGAGCAGCTTACAAAATGCCAGAATGCATCATAGAACTGGACAGCCACAATGAGTAAATTACAATGTGCATAGTGGCTAAGCTCAACACTTTAATATAGATTTATGATTTGTGGGAAAAAAAGATATTTAAAATCAGGATTCCTAAACAATGATATTTCCCCCTAAAACTTATACAAAACCAGGCCACAATTTTTTTTCTTGTTCTTTTGTTGATTAAAAAAAACCCCACAGTTTTCACACTGTAATAACTTGAAAATGTGCAACCGTGTCAACAGAGACAAAAGAAAAAAAGCCAAAAAAACACAAATTTTACTTTCATGCAGCTATTCAGTTAAATATTACATATCCTGGAATGATTTTACACCCCAAAAAAATAGTTTTCACAAAAACTTGCTTTTATAGGGTTGGACCGAAGGTTTTTTGGGTAGGGTGGCGGAGAGGGACAATAGTAAAATAATCAAAGGGTGTTTCTTTGTTGCACTTTTTCTAGTGTGAAGGCCTCCTATATATAGTTACAACATAATTACTCAGTTCTTAAAAAGTATTAAGTCACTAGATAAAGTTAGTATTTGCACCAACCTAACCTCCACTTGGGGGCACAGAGGCTCCAATATCTGTATGGAGTGATCCCTGCCACAGCAGACCCATCCATTTCAGAGAATGGATACAGGGCAAACGAGTGGTGAAGGTGCTCTGTGCACCAGAACGGATGGGACAATCTGCACATCCAAGAGATCTGCACGCACCTTGTCAAATATAAAGATATCTGAGGGTATTGTTCTCATTTTACTAACTGTATCTCGTTTAAATTCAGGCTACACGGCCTGAATTTTCAAAGTTCATCATGGAAACTGGAACTCCATTCCAACCGCCATTGTTTGTTGATGATCCAGACCAGTGTTCCTCAATCTCAGCGACTTTAAGATATGGACTTCAACTCCCACAATTCCCCAGCCAACACATCTTTGTTGTTGCTGAGGTTGAGAAATACTGATCTAGACTATAGCAACAGATCACAGAAAGCTTAATATGAATTTAATCTTCTGATTGACCCTAGCAAATTTCAGAGAAATTTTTTTTTTAAATCCTTTTCTCCCAGTTCTCCCATTCTTATTTTTTCATTGTATTATCACTTTCAATAAATATCCAAGGTCTACATAAATATTTACAAATTACTTTGTTTGAACTTGGAAAAAGAATGTTAAATGGGCATTCGTTGAATCTTAAGGCCATCTTTTTAAAAGAACCCTAAAATGGCGAGAAGCATTAAAAGATACGCTGGTTAAATAAAGTTTACACCTTGTATAAAAAAAACTGTCTCTGAACATGGATGCAATTTATATATATACCTATACATAAAATAAACAAGAGGTAAGGAGGGAGGGAGGGAGGGAGGGAGGGAAGGAGGAAATCAGTTTTCAACTATCGATCCATTCCTACCGGTAGCACTTCTTTATCCAGACATTCCGCAAAAGACAGACTTTTTACAAATCACAGCATCTTTAATACAGGAAAATTAACATGCATTATTCTTCATTCTAGCATAAAAATGGCAATAACCAAATATTACAGACATAACTGCTTTTGTGAAACTTAAGTGCTTCCCCATCCCTCAACCTTAATTTCCTGTTGAGTGCTTAAAATAGATTAATGGTCAACTAGCATTTTGTAAGGTGAAAATTGCGGAGAAGGGGCTGTAAGGTAAAAGGGACGGGGCAAATATTATGCCTTTTCTTCTTATGCCTCAACCTTAGAGCTCTATATATGATGAAACGTAAAATCGAGCTGTTCTTTTTTTAGTTTTTGGCTTTCTTTTTACAAGTATTCATATTAGAAGGATGAAATGTGCAAAAATTTAAAATTTAAATATTACTTTTTTTCCCCCTAAGACCTGGCTCAGCAAAAGCCTACCCCAGTCCCTGGTGATTTCAAAACAATAAGATCAAAGCTAATATTTTCATTATAAAAGCTATATATTGAAGAAAAATAATAATGGAACAAACACAATTGGGAAAAGAACGTTAAGAAGTGGCAGGACTCGCACCTGCTGCGTCAACCCTGTTCCCAAAATTCAGCTGCATACCCACTGGTACAAGCCAACAGATGATGCCTTGAAGCAGGAAATTACGCTGAACAAAACCAGCTCAAACGATTAACATGTGTTACATCCAGGTAGTATGCTGTTTTCTAAACCTTTTTAAATTTCTTACATTCAGGTCTCTTTAAAATGTTCCTGTCACCTTTCTTTGTCTCTTGGAACCCTAAAAACTTTTCTTTTTCTGTGTTTTTTTTTAAATTTGCTGAAAATGCAACAAATTTCCTCAGTTAAAATTTATCAAAAAGTAATGTGCTCCAGCTGAGATTCAAATTGCCTGACTGACAAAAAGCGAGGGGAGGAGGGCCGCAAGGAGATGACAATCTGAAGCAGAGTGTTAAAACACAGGACCGAAATTTAACTGTGCAAAAAGTTATTTACGAAAAGGTGTTTTCAAGGCTGGTGCAAAAATAATAATAATAATTAATAATAATGGGGAGTGAATTCACATTAATTCTGACCCCTTGGAAATCAACATTAAAAACCAGAGAAGATCCCCAGCACCTGCTGCGTTAGAGGAGAGCACTGAATCAGGGCAACAGCTTGGTGGGACGAGGAAGCCTTCATCTTTTCCGACGGCAGGTGCGTTTGTGCTCAGCGTGCCAGTGTTCCTGCTGACACTTGATCGAGCAATAGGAAGTGTTCCAACAGCAGTGATACATGGCCTCCTCTTCACAGTTGTAGCACTGAGGGGAAATAATCATGGATCTTGGATTAGAGGTAGAACCTCCTCCTCCATTCTAAATTCTCCTTAATGCCTCCTTAATTCTTTGTGGGATGCAAACTGCTGTAAATCCAAAGGAACCAAATTCTATTTGGTGGCACGGGACTTGTACAACACACTAATGCATTAAGCCCCACTGGCACCACACATTAATTCACTTGGGAAGCAGCCAGCCAACAACCAACCATGATTTCAAGTGGTTGTTTAGGGATCTAAAGTCAAAGATTGTTTATGTGCCCACACCACCTTAGAGCTCTAGGGCAACGTTTCCCAACTTGGCCATGTCCAGGTATCTGGACATCTTTTACTTCAGCCCCACGGTGGCCATGTTAGCCGGGAGCACTTAACAGTGGGGAACAATTTCACTCAATTAAGGCAGATGCCAAGTGAAAAGAGGCAGCAGAGAATTGTAAAATGGTTGTGCACAGGGAGTCAAAAAAGTCAAGATGGCAAAAAAGGCCCAATGCACATGATCAGGGCTTTGTTCACGTGGTCATGGACACTCAGGCTGTGCATGAAGCAACCAGGACATCGCTCAGACCAAAGGGAAGGCGAGTGCAAAGCCAGCATGCTGAGTGGTTGAGCAATCGAGGCTCAAATCTCCAGTCAGCCACAAAGCTTTCTGGAAGACCTTCCGCCATCCCTCCCTTTCAGCCTAACACAGCTCACAGGATTCCTGGGGCAGGGAAAGACAGGAGACGTCAGCTCATGGAAAAAAGGCAAAGTATATGTGCCACAAGTAAATTAATCAGATAAATCAACAAAAGGGAAGCTAAGAGTACAGAGACAACAGAAATATGGAAGGAAAGTAAACACCTTTCATCTCCCCAAAGGATTTATGGAAGTTGGCCCTTCATCCCAAAATGTGAACATTATGAAACATCCCCAGTATGGATGGAAATGCGAAAGACGTGGCGCAGGGAACCAGTCCACCAGTTGTGCTGCTTACCCATTGCTTCTTCTTGGTCTGAGATATCAGCTGTTTGTGCTGGCTGGCTAGCTTCTTGACTTCTTCTAAAAATTCCTCCTTGCATTTCTCCTTCACCTGCTTTGTCTTTCGGTCACACTCAGTCTGCATATTTGCAACGGCTTTGCTCACAGCCTGCCTTTTTTCCTCCTCCATTTCCGTACGCAGCTGGAATTTGAAAAAGCAGGTGAGTGGGTGACTAGGCACGGCACGTCCAACCCTCTCTTCCTCCAAAAACACCTTGCGCAGCACTACCTGCGGCCATTTGCTCTTAACATAAACAGTCCCTTGATTCACACGGGGCCCAGATCCATCTGGATGGAAAGAGAACCACCAGCACTCACCCTGAAATACTCCAGGGCTGCCATCTGAAAGAGAAGGAAGCACTGGGGACCCTGGGGTAAAGCCACCATGTGGCTTGGCTAACGATCAGGGTGTTCAGTCATCCACAGCAAAAAAAATGCTGAACTTCTCCAGACCGTATTGCTGCGTTAGAGAAAATGTGCGCATCGCCTGCATGCCAGAAGTACAAGTGATCTGCACAAATGCAGGGAGATGTACAATGTGGCTTCAGCCTCTGTAACGTGGCAGGTCGGTCTACCACTGAATGCTTTGCTTCAGTTTAAAAAAGGCACTTTCTGTTGCAGGTCACAGCAGGCATAATCTTAGAAAATCTTACCACCTTAACTCTCACCCTTCCTGGAACAAGAGAGAGTCCGTCTTGCATACCAGCCAAGTAATTAGTCCTTGCTTAATCAATCCTTGGTTTGTTTCCTTTCTTCCTGCTGCCAGCGTCCAGAAGAAATGGACAAAATGTGGCAGCATGGGCAGTTATTGGCATTCCTTGATAAGCCCACGTAACACCACTACTCCGCGAGCTGCGCTAACTTCCTCTAGGCTTCTGGGTGTAATTCAAGCTGCTGATAATCACCTATAAACTCTACACAGCACAGGAATAGCCTATTTAAAGGACTGCTTTCTCCCAACGGTAACTGCTCTGTTCCACCTGCTCCAGCGAAGTGAGCATGCTCTGGGTCCCCTCCTTGAAACATCACCTTCTGGGACTGAGGAGGCGTGTCTTTTCTGTCGCAGCACCTGCCCTCTGCCACAATCCCTCCCCCAACATACAGTTGCCCCCAATCCTGCAAGGCTTTAGAAAGGCAGTTAACATACGGCTCTTTCCTTGGCCATTTGGGTCAGGATGATGAGAGCTCCAGTCTGGAAATGCAATAAATTTGAGTTCCTGGTTGCCGATTCATTGTTTGCATCTGTTTTTAGTTGGTACTGTTTATTTTGTTTTTGTTTTTGTTTACTGGTCTTTTATAGCCTGCCCAGAGTTGCACTGTTCAAGCTGGGTGGCTATATAAATGCTTTAAATAAAATACATACAAGCTAAGCCACAGTTTGGTTTGTTCGCTTTGCATTTAGTATGGTGTCTGAATCTGCCCACTACAGCTTCATCACCAATTACAAGTCACTGTTAAAATCAGCAAGATGGATAAACTGACAATGAACTGTGGATGCACAACATGCTTTGTGGCCAAAAATAAATGATAGATTCCTTTCCTGGGTGGGTTCATAGGTCACATTAAGCAGAACACAAACCACAGAATGGCTTAGTGTTAAGTGCAAATTAGGCCCAGATTTTAAAAGTGGAATCCTGTACCACACCTTTAGAGGAGACCATGCCTATGAGTCGTAGGCATCCGGTAGAATCCACAATGGCAGCAAGAAGATGGCTACATCAAAATGTCTTTGCACAAATCACATGCATTAAATACGTGTCATTTTGCATCACAACACAACATGCGGGAAGAATGAAATTTGTGTAATTCACCCAATGTTGTCATGAGGACATCACCAGCCCTCCCCTGCTGTTCCTCAGACAACACAATCCTTGCAGCAGGGCAAAGAACTGCTTATCTAAAACGATAAACTTTAGAAGAGTTTAACTGCACAGTGGGGATTATCATCCTTTTACAGAAGAGTGACCACCCTCCAGAACAGAATGAATGAAAATATGTATGTATGTACATTTCAGTAACAATGAATCATTAGAATTAATGCCTGTTCTCGAGCTGCAAATTCATAGCCAGTTACCTTCTCAAGAGCTTCCCGCACAACCCGCTCTGTTTCCCGCTTGTGATCATTCTTGATTCTATCCTTGAACTCGCTGAAGATTTTGGTGTATTTCTCATGGCACATGTTTTGACATATGCCGTCATTATTGGTCTGGGTGCTCCGGTGCAGCATTTTAGGGGAAGAGGCACTTAATTTCTTGGTCTGTGTTGAGACTGAAATTTTTTCAATGGGTTGAGGCATTGTGGGAATTTCCTGACTTGAACTCACTGCTTCCGTTTCAGGCTCTGGCTCCTAACATAACAAAGAAGGTGTCACTTTGATGGCCAATGAAAAGGGCTACAACCATTTAGATCAGAGAGATAAAGACTGAAATACGTGTACTGAATTATACATCAACATAACTGTAAATATTAATTAGGTAAAAACTTGTCCCTGTGGTGTCCTTTAAAGACAAAGATGTAATGTTATATAGTACAATTAAGTCATAATCATGCCAAGGACTCCACCATTATTTCATACAAAGAGAAAAAAATCATATGCATGATGAAATGTCATTACTTAGTAATAAGACTTCTGTTTCCAAATTACTGAGCTTTGCACATCTCTGTTAACTAGCATTATAACCTCGCAGAACAGGAATCTAGGGATCTCTGAAGGTACTCAAGAGATTAATGGGTGATTAGCATACATGTAGGCATAACTTCTATATACTAGGTATCACTATCAAAATATTCATAAATATAGATGTGTGCATATATTCATAATACACGTCTATCAATTTTTTTTCCTGGTTTTTGCCAGCTTGTCCAAACAAGGATTCTAACTCTGAGTAAGATGTTAACACATCTACACATGTTAAAACTGGCAAAGCTAAATTACAGTTAGGCAGAAGTCATGAACTTGCATGGAATGTTATAGCCTCACTCCATCTCTGTTAAGGGTGGATGAGTTGGAATCAATCCCAAATGAATACTTTATTCACTCAGAAATATTCAAAATTATAAGAAAGATCCAATTTGGAGAACATGGCTAGTATACAAGGCAAATTAAAACAATACTTCTAAATGGAGAAAATAAAAACAGATTAAAATATCCTCTTTTAAGAAATGATCATCACTTTTCTGAGTCATAAACATGAATAAAATGAATTTGTAAATAGTCAGAAGGAAAAGAGGCTTGAATAATGTTTTCTCCCTCACCCACAAGTGCATGTATTTAATTGCCATGCTGTTCCTTACTTCCTTTTTGGGTTCCACACTTTGATTGCGTCTTCCTTTCTTTGCTCTTGGCTCCTGAGTAACCTTCAGCTGGGAAAATGGATGAAGAAACAACAATTAATAACAAAGAAAATACTCATTTAGAATTGTCAATAAGGAGCCCGTCTTCTGTTTCTTGTTATGAAAACGTGGAGTGAAATTTTAAAAATCCAACTTATAAAATAAATGTTCGTTGTCATCAATTATTTTTTGCCCACAAACTGAATTGCAAAATTTGGTAAAACCCCAAAAGTACATAACTGCCCAAATTAATATACAAGCCCCACGCAACCAGATGCCAAGGTGCTTCACCCACAAAGTTGTCATGCCCATTTGTTTTTAGAGTACGTGAAAAAGTCCATTACTAAGAGATCTTGGAATTTTTTATCTAAGAGAACAGAACAGAGGCACGCTCCAACTTGTTTCTGTAATGAAGTTGGAACAAAGCAGGCAGAGAAACAAAACACAGCGAAGTAGGTATTAGTTTCATCCATCTAAAACAATGACAATGCAAACCAAATCTAAACTACACAACTGTTTTGGGATTTGAATCCAATGTGAATCAGTCTACAAACCACGCATTTAAAATAAGCAATTTTAAGCAAACAAAGAAAGAGAAAAGTGGTTTCTATAACACCTAAGAGATTTAAAATGGTTATACAAACTTCAGGTACAAAAAACCGTGTCAATTCTAGAACTTCTCTAACGTGGGTGGATTGTTATTATTGCAAATCTTTAGATCAGATACAGTAATTAAAAGCAGCATAAGTGCAGAGTGTGCAGCGCCATTACTTTTACTGCCCTGAAGTCTATGGGCCAGCTCATACGAACCAATCTTGAACAAAGTTATGGATAGAAGAAATGGGACAACTGCTGTCTGCCTTAAAATGGCCTAATCAACAATTTATCTAAACTTGGCTGCTTCTACTTTTTTTGTTCAAGCTTCCCAAATTCCTTGAGAATCAAGCTTTCAGAAACATAATAAATCGCACAAAAAATTACCAAATCCTTGCCAAATTTGTAGGGACTGTCCTTATCTTTTACCATCCAAAAGGAGAGTTTCAGAGGACCAGAGTCTGGTGCACGATGTTTGCAACATGATTGAAATATGGGCATTCAAACCTTTGATAAGAAGAAAGCTGATCAAAGTAGCAGCCGAGCTATATTGATCAACTGCAACTGAGTTTTATCAGCTGGGATGACTTCACACAACTACTCACTTGCTCATTACTGGTAGAAGAGATGCTTGATTCTGCCTCTTCCTCTCCTTTATCCTCATTTTTGGATTTCCAGAATCTGCCATCCCGAAGGAAACGTTGATGCAGCTCAAGCTCATCGCACGCTTTCTTCCAGCCCATGCTGCGCTTCACGTGCAGCCGGTGTATATTAACCGTGATATCCTGAATATTTTCTGAAGGAATCCAGGCCCTCCACAATGAAAACGAAAAGTTACACTTAAGCACATGTTACACATCCTTTGAACACGGCTGCTAGTTCAGTTTTCAAATCATCCTTTTCTATGCCAAGCATCCATTCAACTTCAAGTGTGCATATTTACCTAAATGATGAAAAGAGTCTTCTCCACTGGGTTTCAATGGGTTTCATCCACAGCTGCCATACTGACTTTTTTTTAAAAAAACCCCAATACTCCTAACACATTCACAATTTTAACTTTAATTCTATTTCAATTTTCATTCTCTCCTAGCCCATCTTCTTGCAACAAGCATTTTTGTGTGCAATTCCAGCTTCTCAATATGTTTATGATATCTATGTGCTCCAGAACTACATTTACATCACTGTTATTTAGACTGCTGTATAGAAAACTTTGTCAGTGAAACATTGCCTTATTCTTTAAATCTGAATTATATTAAAGAGTATTCCTGTGGCAATTTTAAAAAGGAAACTCTTTGGCAGATTCTGTTTAAGATTCAGATTGTCTAAGATCACATATCTTAGACAAGAAGACAAAACATGCAGTTATTTATTTGATTTATAGCCCATTTTATTTTGTTCAGCTCAAGATGACATACATAATGCTCGCTACTCCTGTTTCTCCCACCAAAACCACCTTATGAGGTGAGCTGGGCTGGGCTAACAGAAAGTGGCTGGCCCAAACTCACACAGTTGGCTTCTCTGGCTAGGGGAGGACTAGAACACAAAGGATACAGATTAGAAAGAGAAGGGTAGAGTTTATCTGTTAGATTTTTTTCCTCCAGCTGTCTCTCAATAACATTTCCACCTCCAATTTCATCCTGCAACAGCAATCCGGTGTGGTTGACTGGGCTGAGAAAAAATGGCCCAAAGTTCAAGCAAATTTGAACCTGCATCTCCCTGGGCTGAATCCACACTATTAACCACACCACTGTACTGGCTCTCTCAGTATACAAGAGACACTGCAAGTATGAAAATACCTTTGGTGGTGATGGCCAAAAAAGCGAACGTCAACTTGATTGTCCTCTTTTTGCATGACTTTTGCAGGCCAGAATCCAAAGCCTTTCATTTTGGCCCAAACCAGTTCATGATTTGGTATCTAGAAATTAAAGAAACATAGCACAGTTACAGAATTATTATTTCTGACTTGGGGGTCTGAAGTATAACAGTGTCACATAAAGAAAACAAAACTTATCCATGAGAGAGTTAAACCTTGATTAGATATTAGAGTTAAGTCTTGATTACAGAGATCATCACTTACACCAGTGTCAGCACTGTATTTTAGCATACTGTACTCACGTAATATAACAAATTATCGTGCTGGCACAGAGTTTCTCAGCATTGTTAGCTTACAGCAAAGAAGCTCAGTTTCATTAAGTTTTCAAGTAAATAAATGTCCCTTATCAGCAAAAAAATGGCATTGTGTTCTTTCATGCATGGGAATCGTCCAATGTATACTGAGGAAGCTGTGTAGATGGGCCACAAGTGGAAAGCAACAGTCAAAAAGATGTGTTTTAAACAAGTATTTCTGAATGTTCAATGCTACCTAAAGGTGGTCCTGGCAGTGTTCAAGCACATTAACTGAGCCATAAGTTGTCATTTTGAGAATACCGAGTGTCCATCCAGTTTCTCCAAGAAATGCTTGCTATCCCATGAGCCCTTAGGCCAGGAGAATACTGGCAACGCTTTATTATAGCACTGGCCCTTTCCCCGGCACCAGCTAACCAACAGTAGACATGAATTGGCCACTGCACTCAAGGAAATATAGGAAGTGTGATCTGTTTCACCAGGCCTTGCCAGAGAATTCTATATGAAGAGCTTGCTTTTATGAACCAATCAATTCTGCATCAGCAATTTTTCTGGGAGGGTTAAGTGGGCAAAACAGGACTAGTGACTCAGGTTTGATATTCCTATGATGTGGCTGATTGGGTGAAATGAGTTTATGTGTGAAACTGGTTTATTTGTAGTTTAGGGGGTAACACCCTCAGAGTTAGTTGACTGGGACAACTGGTCTTATCTTTGTATTGGCATGAAAATGACCCCATGACTGAGGGGGTGGGAGCAGGGCCTACATTTACAATTTTGTCTGATAGCTATATTCATATCCTCAATGAATCTCATTCTTTAAGACAGTTGGGGTAAATCCCATCACCATTTCTTGTGGCAGCAGATTCCACATTAACTTTCAGTTGTGTGAAAAGATAAGCTTACACAAGGGTAGCAGAACCAATTGTCAGGACGCGCATTTGATAGATAAAAACAGTTCTTGCAAAGCTGAAGTTCATCCAGCTGAGGAAAAAAAAAGAAAAAGAAATACACTGTCACCTTCAATAACACATTCTGAAACTCTTATTTTAGCAAATCTAAAATTGTAAGATGCTTTTTTTCTCTCTCTCCCTGAAAGTTATATTTGTTTCACACACACACACACACACACACACACACACACAAAAGGGGAAAAGAGAAGTGAAGAAAAAATGAAGTAAAAATAGACTTCCATATCATATTACAGATAGTCCTTGCTTAATGACCATTCATTGAATGGTTCGAAGTTATGACAGCTTTGGAAAGGATGTTTTACAGCCTGTAAAGCACTTCTGGCCATTGCAAAACATCGCACCTTCCCCCTGCGGTCACGTGGCCGCATACTGGGTGCCTGACAACTGGCTTGCATTTATGATGGGCTGCCAAGTGCCTTGCAATCATGTGATTGCCATTTGCATTCTTCTCTGCTGGCTTCCCCAGAAAGTCTGTAGGGAAGCCGGCAGGGAAGGTTGCAAAAGGAGGGGACCGAGGGGAGTTGAAATCTTTCTGTGGTCTGCAGGAACATTCCTGCAGCCTCACGATGGATTTCCCCTCCATGCACAGCCCTGAAGATTGGAGCTCAGTTCCTGCAGACTGCAGAAGGATTTCCCCTCCATGCACAGAGGGGAGGGGAAACCCTTTGCAGGCTGCAGGAATGTTTTGAGAGCAAAAGGGCTGCCTGCTGGGAGGATTTCAGCTCTGCGCGGAGCTGAAATCCTTCAATAGGCAGCTCTTTCACTCCATCTGCTTAACAACCTGGGAGATCACTTAATGAATGCAACTGGGAGTGCCTGGATTGTGGTCACTGAGTGAACAGTCACATGGCTGTCTCGCTTAATGACTGCTTTGCTCAACAATTGACATTCCAGTCCCAATTGTGATTGTTAAGCGAGGACTACCTGTACATACAAAAATATATATAATTTAGCCAAATTTTAAAGTAAATAAAGTAAACCTTGACTAAGCAAAGTAATAACTATTGGCTTTTCCATTGTGTCAACATAGTACCAGTTCAACAATGGAAAGTGAGCACATATCCATAATTTAGGATGCCAAGTCAAGAATAATTTTATTTTCCAAAAACTGAATAATAAATGTCTGTACACTCAATCATACATAATATATCCACTATTCTTTGAAGGTAAGATTTTCAACTGACCTCTAATCTTTTCAGAAGCCTATTAGCAGCACAAACTGAGCAAAAAGTTGTTGAGAACCCTTATTTATTTTAAGGATGAAACAAAATTATTCAATACAGACAATCATATTGGTGCATTTAAATTATTCTGGCACCTTTTACCTTTGAAAATCTTGAGAAACATCGTTTAGATGTTTTAGTTTTTCATTTAAATCAAACTGTGGATTTGGCTTTGAAAGAAAAAACTGTTCTAAAAGGGGGTATCAATACAGCAATCATATATAATCTTCCTAGTTTTTTTCCCTTATTTTTATTTATAAGCAACTGTTCACAAATGGAATAAAAATGTAGCTAAAAACCAATTACTTCGGTTTTTAAAATCTGTTGACTCACAATAAGAATTTGGAATTATATGGACAGTTAAAGTTTCCAAAGAGCATTTTACTTTGAGTTATCAAAAATGCAGCATGTGTTTCATAAGTTTTTCCTGATTTCCAGAATAACTTTCAAAACAAATGAAAGCACAGGTATATGGAAACTGGTAGACAATTGTCCAGAAGCCAAAGAATATGGGCCAGCCATTAACATGGCTGGATATGACTTACCTCATGGCAGGTATCTTTGTAAAGCATCCTGGCTATATCAGCTTGTTCACTGTCCACTGTAAAAAGAATACACCCACAAACTCCTAAGTCTGTAAATGATTCACACAACAATATCTACAAGAGATGTCACTGGAATTCAAAAGACCAAAAAGCATCAAGAGATTCAAGAGAGGATAGGATACAATTATAATGTTTATTAAGTGCATTCTTCTGCATTGAATTGCATGATTTGTTGGGTGGTAGCTTCCCAAATTTGGAACTTTCCAAGCAAAGCCAAACATCACCAGCCTGGAGATACCTGGCAGTCCCTGCTAATATTCACTCAAATCATACAAACTCTAAGGATGTTTTAAAAATAGTGAAAAACAACTGGCAACTGAATTCTGGAGGGACTGGCCCCATCAGCTTGTACAACCTGGGTTAGTATCCAGGTCCCTTCGGCCTGATTTATGCCTTTAATGGGCTAGATAGCTCAGAGACTGCATATCCTAACCCATGTTTTTGCAAATCCTTTTACAATCTGCTTGAGTATTTCATGACTCAAAACTAAAAATTTCTGAAAGGTTAACCAAAAAGAAAAACGTAAGAAAAGATGTGCTGGCTTACATCAAAGACCTATAGGTAGTCCTCGCTTAGCAATCACAATCGGGAATGGCAACTCCATAGCTAAGTGCCACGGTTGCTAAGTGAAACATCACGTGACCATGACTTACAATTTTACTTTTGCTTTCTCTATTAATTCTGCTTGTCACAAGCCAGTTGCAAAGCACACAAATGGCAATCATGTGACCATAGGACACTATGACAGTCGTAAATGCACGCCAATTGCAAAATACCAGAATAGCAATTGTGGGGATGCCGCGACGATCATAAACACAAGGATTGGTCGCAAAGTTTTTTTTTTTACACCGTCATAACTTTGGTCATTAAATGAAGCAGTCGGTAAACGAGGACTACCTGTATTCCACAATTTGTTTCTACAATATTCCTTGAGATACATTTTGGGAAGCCCATGACAATTGCATTCTCCTGTTCAAGTATCTAGCTTCTGATAGCAGAAGTAATATAGAACCATCATGATGGCTTAATCTGCATGACTTTGTCTAATTCACCTTTGATGGAGAAGTAAAACTGAATATAATGGAAGGTTTTCACTTGTTCTATATTTTCTATGACCAACTCTACCCTCAAATAAGATGTAGGTTGCTTAAAGATTTTATTTTTAAGTCCAAGCAATCCCTACATACCTCCATAAAAAATCACGGTGTTGTGTAGAAGCAGCTGAGCATCTGCTTTGAATTCCTCATAACTTCTGTATTTTCCTTCATTTACTTTCTATATAGATTGAAACAGAGTTATAAGAACATTCATTAGAGTTGCCCACCAATCAGCGCAAGTACGCATATACAACTATGTTTATTATACAATTTCTACAATATAATTTATGAGAGCTCACAGCTGTGAAATTGTGCAATGAGCAGCTTTAGTTTGTTTCTGGTCCCATCTTCCATCCCAAGCACTTCTACATAGAGGACACCTAGTAGCACTTCTAAGTTAGATCTTTGCTCAATTAACTCACACAAACTGCTTCTAGATATAACTAAATGGTACAAGGTTTCCAGATGTGGAGCACTGGGCCTCTAAAAGTGAGATTAGCCTGAAAACTGCCAATATTCCTCTGCTGTATGTAACCCAGAACTATATAGGAACATACCTCTTGTATAGTTGGAACATCAACGGCTGTGTGTACTAGCCGACGATACATTGGATGTTTGTTGTCCTTGCCTTTTTTGTTTAGATCAATAGCCTAAAAATCACCAGAAAATACTGGTTTAGAAAGCTGCCATTCTGATGAGAGAAAATTAGCTTTAACATAGCCTTTAAAATAATTTATACAGATTCAGATTAAATGCCGATTTACAAATAAAAATCAAAGTTTTTTAAAAAGTTCTAATCCAAAAAGGTTATCCTGCTGACATGTAGGGTACTTAGTCTTCTTGACATTTGAAAGGTATAATCAAGACACAAAACCCCTAAACATTTTTCTTCGCATTAATTTTATAGAAACTATACCTCCTCCCAAAAATGTTTTGTAAATTTTCAAACAATCAGTTTACATGTAAAGTCTGACAGATTGAATCATCATCCAATTATGAAAATGCCAGTTAATTTTTCTCCCCAATATTCCCATGCAAGAGTTCTGATGACTGAAAATACTGACTTTTTAAGTAATGTACAGGGCTATTCTAGAAACAGTAGACAAAGCACTGTATGAAATACTAAGAGTATATCAAAACAGAATCTGGCAAATTGAGATTTAACTGTATTACTAAGACTTAAGAGTTTAGTTGTCATTTTCGAATATTCCTTTAAACCACTGAATTTCAAAATCATGAGGCTGCCTCCACAAAGGATCCTGTGCAGATACTTTATTTATTCCATCATCATAAAGTCTGTATGTGTGTCTAGACAGAAATTGTAGTAGTAGAAAACTAAATGGGAGATTAATTCTGGACCCCATAAAAATTCCATGGAAGAGTGGTGGAGAACGCACAATAAAAGCCGTGTCTGAAACATCTGATTTAAAACCAAGTTTGAAAATATTTGAAACAGATTTTCTTTTTAAGTTCAGTTTCTAAAAATTTGCCAAAGTATACGTTTCTGCATGATGCTGGCAGGATCAGAAAGGATGGGAGATGCTAAAACAGAAAAGACATGAATATCCAGGTTCACATATAAATCTCTTGCACAAAACCACATAAGTTGTGACCGTTTGATGGGGACAGCATCTAATCTGTCCCCAGGTGTTAGCCAGAACATTCTCTTCTGATTGGCCAAAAGTTCTCAAGCTTATCCCAAATGTAAGCATCCGCTGAACAGAATTAGGCACATCTACTCTGTTCTAAACAGGATTGTCAGACTATAACTGGAAGGTTTCAGCTTATGTTTATAGATAAGAGACAGCACTCCCAACTTGTATTTTTCACGTTATATTTTTTTCCCACTCCCCTGTTTGCTGGGAGTAAGCAGTATCTATTCGAGTGATGGAGGAAAAACAAAAATACTCAAAAGGGAAATAGGAAGGTAGAAAGTAATTCCAATTTTCTTTCTTGAGTCACTAACCATTTGAAGCTGCAAAGAGAACACACAAAAAAAGGCTGCTTAGAATCCTAAAAACAACTGTATAATATGATACAACACTCACTCGTTCCTTCATCCGGGAGACAATGAAGCGCAAGTATGTGCTCATCTCCTGCTTACTGGTGTTCTTCTTCTTAATGCTCTGGGGGAGGAGGGGGAAGGAATCAACAGCTTTATTTTAGAACTCTGACTTTTAGGAAACATGACAACATTTTACAGTGCAAAGTTGTTAAAACACAGCAAATAAGCCCAAGCAAGAAGCCCAATTTTGCAGCCTGTGAAGGATTAACAGTCAAAGCACCACAATATGAAACTGCTGGTCACAGAATATTCTGGCTGGAGTGATGCTGCTGGAGACGACTTGCTCTTTCTCAAGCATCAACAAAGTTCAGAACTTACTAGGTGGGAAGTTCACTGAATTGACACATCTACAGGACTCCCACCTAGGCAAAGGTGCATGGGACTGTTATGTTAATCTGCAACTGACAAATGATTTTTCTTGCCATTGTGATACTTTCAGAAAGTACACTATTTTTTCTAATTCATATCTGTACACTCTATAGCCAAATTAGCCCAAACTGAGCATTCTCAGGTGTAATTCCAATATTCTCTTGTCCTTCTACATTGATTTGGACAATCAATGTGGCATCTAGTTGGCAGTTTAGGAAGTTTAGGACAACTGTGTGTCCAGGGCTGGGAGTGGGAGGAGTGATCTGGGGAAGGAGTGAGCAAGAAAGTAGCCATTAAATGGCACATGAACACCTAGTGAAAAGGAATGGATCTTGCCAAAGAACAGTGAATTCTACATGCCTTATTTCTCCAGGAACTCAAGATCGCATATACAAACATTCCCAGATAGGTTAGATTGAGCAACAATGGTAGATAATCCAAAGTTACCCAATGAGTTTCTATGGCTGAGTGGGGATCTGAATACAGGTCCTATTTGATCACTCTATTATAACCCACAAAAGATACATGGAAAATTGAAAGTGGAGTGGGGTAAGGAAAGTAATCTCACCACCCAGCAACAAATCCATTATGGTTTTCAGAGAAGGGATCATCAGGCCCATAAATTAGACATGTGGCAGAGCAAAAAAATAACTGTATACATTTTTTACTGGAGAAAAGAAGTGCTTAAGGATCTACATGATACTGGTTCACCAATATCCTTATTTAAAAAACTCAAATCTACAAATTCTAACTATGCATGTGGGCATATGCGTGCATAAATATAAAGAGACAGCTGAAGCTGGCTAGGTACCATAACCTTAATGCCCTATAGTGAGGGGAGGAGGGGGAATCCCTTACTTGGCCAAGGAAAAACCCAATTAAAAATGGCTTGAAGATTACACAGCCATGGAGAGAATAGATAAAACTGCATGCATAGCTTTTCTTTTTGTGCCAGATCAGTTAAAATGACTTATTTAGTAACAATCACGAAGTCACAATATCTAATCCCGATTCTGAAATCTAAATGGCTCAGCTTCTCTTTAAAAGCTTAAAGCTTTGCTATTATAAATTTATAATATATAAATTTAATAGTAAATAAATAAATAAAATAAAATTATCCTTGTACTTAGGGCATGGAAAGCAACTTTCTACATGATTTCCAAAGGTATGGAAAACAGCATGCCAGAAGAGGGCTCTGAAACCAAAAAACGGTCCTATACATTCTTAGTCTAGCTTTCCTAATCACTATTAAGATGGGCTTCTCTGCATGCAAACCACCTGGAAAACTAGAAACTCCTCTTCCTAAAGAGTACCACTGAAGCCAGGGACTTCCAGTAAGGATTAAGGTGGTTTAGTTCATCTTCGAGGAGCAGAGATGGTATCAGAGCTGAGACTGGTACCCAGGAATGGATGCTGAACCTCCTCCAGATAAAGGAGGAAGTGTGAAATCAACCCATTTGATAACCCATTTCCCGTGAGTTAACTCCAAGAACAGAAGTTTTTGCAGTTTGCTTGTGAGTTGAGTGGCTGGGAGGCGTGGGATTCTATCTTCGTTCGTGGCTGTAGTGCAGCCAACACGGACACTAGAACCGACCAATCCTCATTTCTTAAATAACATTTTGATACAATTATTCTTCAGCCTGAGAAAGATTTTCTTTTGCAACAGATAAGTACTTCTCTTGGTGGTTTTCAGTTTTTCTGGGATTATAAATTCCAAAGATTTAAAGACTCAAAGTATGTTGAATAATTAGCAAAAAGCTTAATAATAAGGAACCATATAAGAAAGTTAAAAATGGATGAAGGGGAAGATTACTTTTAAAAAAGATTAATTTCTTATGAAACTGCATTGTAAAAATCCTAACTGACTCAAACTTGACTCAAACTTTCCGTGGGAACGCTGCTTGCTTTGCATTGAACACTGTTGATAATTGGCTGGATTTATAAACCAAAAGAATACAGTAATTTGAGAAGATTGTGTATTTGGCTATAACTATGGAAATGCTGATGTGAAGTGTGCCTGCAATTACAGCTTCAAAGACAGGTTCTTCAGAACAGCTGTTAGAGAAGGAAGATAAAGAAGATAAAGTGATTCCTTTAAGTTTACTTCAGTCAATGTTTGATGAATTGGGATCTAAATTGACTTAGTCACTTGAAGCCAAATTCATGACACTTTAAAAAAAGATAGATGAAAGGCTGGATAAGATAGATAACCTGTAAAACAAACATCTGGAGATATCAAACAAATGTCTGGAGATATCAAACAAGTTACTGATAGGATGGAAATTTTAGAGAGTAAATCAGAAGTTAGGGATAGAGAAATGGAGAGGTGGATAATGTGGCTTTGTTGGAAATTAGGGAGAAAGAATTCTGTTTTGAGATTTAGAGCTATTCCAGAGAATCCTGATGACAATATTAGAAGAAAAATTATATAAGCATTGACATATTTTTTGGACTGGGAAAAGGAAGGTACTGAGACTGACAAGGTGTATCACATAAATTCACATTTTGCAAGAGTAAGAAATGTTCCAAGGGATGTTTTGGTGCATTTTGTGAGGAAAAAAAACAAGGGATCAAGTTTTGCAACAGCAAATACAAGATTGAAAATTGATAATGTAGATATAATTACCTTAAAAGAAATCCTTATCAGAATTTTATGTAAGAGTAAGGAATATTCATTTTTTACAGAGATACTAAAGCAGAATAAGATTTCATTCCGCTGGGATAAATTAGAGGGTGTGATTTTTATTTTTAAACAGAACAGATTCTGACTGAACTCTGTTTAAAAGGCCAGAGAATTTTTGGAAAAATTTAAAGGAGATTTGGAAGAGGTTCAAATGGAAGCTGTCGAGAAGATTACTCCAAAACCACAACAGATGCAAAAGAAGTTTGGAAAAGATTATTATGAATTAGGTGCTACAGGCATTGACTTTTCTAAATTACTGGCTTAATTATGGATTACAAATGCTTAACGTGGAATATAAATGGAGCAAATGCTTTTCAAAAAAGAAAAAAATGTTTCATTGTTTAAAAAAATTAAAAGAAGATATAATTTGCCTACAAGAGACTCATATTAGAAAAAAGGATATAAAATATTTGATTTGCAAAAATTTGGGAGAAGAACTTATTTCAGCTGGACCTAAAAACATAAATGTTTTTATATGTTAACCCCCAACTAAAACCAGAACTTGTATTGACTGATGAGCATGGCAGATTTGTTGGGGTGGAATTTAAATTACATGGGATTAAAACCATGGTCCTGGGAATTTATGCCCCAAATGAGAATAAAGGAATTTTTTATAAATGACTAATGGAACAACTGGCAAGTCTTTCTTCTGAAAATTGGTGTTTAATGGGAGATTGGAATGGAGTGGTCTTCTCCACAATTAGACAGAACATCAGAAAAGAATATCAAAATTACTCAAGGTAAATTACCAAAGCCTTTTTTTTTTTTATTTGATGGACAATTTAGCCCTAGTGGACGTATGGAAACAGAAAAATGATAATTCCAGAGAATATACTTATTTTTTAGAAAGACATAGATCTTTTTCAGGAATAGATATGATTTGGACCTCAAAAAATTTGGCTGCTAAGATTTCTAAAGCTGAGATTTTATCAAAGGCTTTTTCTGACCATAATCCTGTGAGTTTGATTTTTAAAAGGAAACCTACTTCTTTCAGATGGAGATTAAATGAAACATTACAAAAAGAGTTAATAGTGGAAGGCTGCAAAAAGAAATTAATAGAATTCTTTGAAAACAATTTAAATGTATTGATTTAAGAATAGTTTGGGACACAAGTAAAGCTTTCATTATTTTATACAACATAATAATAAATTTAAAAAGAGGACTCAAGAGAAAACACAGACTATTTTGGATGAGATAAAAAGAAAATAGGAAGAATTAAGGAAATCACCAGGAAAGACAAGCATTTCACATCAAATTAAATTTTTACAGCAACCATTATCTATGTTAACAATAAGAGAAATGGAAATAAAGATGAACTATGTGAAGCAAAAGAATTTTGTATTTGCAAACAAACCAAGGAAATGGTTAATTAAGAAAAGAGAAAGAAAAGAACATGGTTTTGAAACTTCAAGAAGGAGGTACTGTATTAACGGATAATCTGGTTATACAAAAAACTTGTTATCAGTATTACTCTAACTTACATAAAGGACATGATATTCCCTTGGAAAAAATAGAAGATTACTTTAAAAAAACAAAATCTACCAAGGCTTACAGAAAACCAAAGACAGATTATGAATGGACCTATAACAATAAGGGAAGTTTCTGAAGTCATAAAAAAGATTAAACCAGAAAAAGTACCAAGACCAGATGGACTGCCAGGTTCTTATTATAAATGTTTTGAAGATGAACTTTTACAACCCCTCCAAAATACAATGAATTCTATACTATAGGGAGGAACAATGCCAGAGACTTGGAAAGAGATTAATATAGCATTAATAACTAAAGAGGGGCAAGATCTAACTTTAACACCAATTATAGACCAACATCATTACTGAATAATGATAAGTTGTTTATAACGATTTTAGCAGACAGATTGAAACTAATTCTGCAAGAATTTACTTAAGAAGACCAATACAGATATTTACCTAAAAGACAGTTAAAAGACAATTTCAGAACAGTGTTGGATTTTATAGAATACTTGGAACAGCATAATGAAAAACAAGCCGCAT